GATAGAGTTGTAGCCTGAGAGACCGGTCATGTGCAACACTAAATAAAGTTTGCATTTTATTAGCAGTGGGAGATGCACTGGGTAGGCAGAACAATCAGATATATTCAGGTCAACTGTGGCGGATCTATGGAGGATGACTTGAGAATTGAGGAAAAGAGGCAGAGATGAGGATGCTACTGAGGTACTGCTGAAAGCAACTGAGAATCCAAGTAAATGAGGTTACGAACTAAGCTAGTGCATAGCCTGTAACAGATACTCAGTGTGTGCTACTTGACAGGCTGTTCAGGTTGACAATAACTTATGGCCCAACAGAACTGGATGAGCCTTCTCTTGGATTAAAGTCAGCTTTAGCAGTAGGTTGCTGGGCTAGATGCCTGAAGGGTGAAGGGTACTAGAAGGTTAATGCTATAGCCAGAAGTCAAGATTTATCTTTGGCTTGGGGCACATGTTAATACAAGAAGACACAGGGAAGCAAAATATCACCAGATTCTGGTGGATCTTCTTCCATGTAGCATACAGAGCACCCTGAGGCATTATCATTCTGGACAGGAACATGTCAAGTCCAACGTAGCTTCTAAAAAGTTCAATGGGAGACTGCACTAGATCTCCACTGAAGATACTCTATTTCTTTTTAAATACAGCAAATATGTACCACTCTACAGGACTGCTCTGTCCATCATGGTAGGCACTAGGCATGTGTGGTTATTAAGCATTTGAAATGTAACTAGTTCAAATTCAGATTTTCTGGTAGTATAAAATACACACCAGATTTCAAGGACTCAGTGTGAGAAAAATAATGTAAAATATCTCATGAATACTTTTTGTATTGGTTATATGTTGATAATATTTTAGATTTATTAGATTAAATAAAATGTATTAAAATACATTTACCTTTTGAAATAAGGCTACTAGAAAATTTTAAATAGTTTTATGTAGCTAATATTATCTATCATTCTGCTGAACAAAACTACTATAGAAAGTTCAGTGTTATTTTCTATTGCAAAAATAAAATAGTTCTATCTCCTCTGATTTTTCTGAACTTTTCCCATGTAGGGAAGCTGTCAACATGTGCACTAGGATGAAATTCAAAATGTATAAAACAAGTTAATGCTTTCTTGTCTACTGTCCAGAATTGTTTATCTGCCTTTCAATCTTTCCATGGAGATTAGTGCACCTGTAGCCTGTTTTAATGGTCATGGTGTTCTGTGCAGTTTACATATTAGAAAAATTATTTAAATAAAAATTTGAAAGGGTTCATTATTTGGGGTCATTAAAAGGCAAGAAAGACAAGGAGGGGAAGAGGTCCCATATTAATAAGTTTCATATCAGGGCAAGTTGCAGTCTGACATGTTTCAATAGACTGAACCTTTCTAAAGAGGAAGTTATTGCAAAATATTCCTCTCTTGCAAAGAGGTTGGAGCCAATATCTCTATTAGAACATTAAACAACAATTGCAAATTCTCAAACCAGAGTTCTTGAGAGGTCATTTTGCTTTCACATTGGTGAACAGCAAGTAACTATTCAGAAAGGGCATTCCTGGATTCAACTGCAGGGCTTTCAGTTCTTTTTTTTTTCCCTTGTGGGCTAGTGGAAATTGTAACATTTGATCATAATACTGAAATTTTAGCTTAATTTTCCCTAAGTTTGCTGAACCTTCCTGCTTCACACCAACAACTCCCTATGATTCTATAAATTTGGTGTGTGTTAGCATTTAACAGAATGTGAAATAACCTCAAGGATTCTCCACCAAATGGAACTGATTATACAATGAAAATAACTTAAGGAAGGATCTGAGACATCATATAAAGTATTTTACCATGTTTTGCAAGGCTCTTTGCATTTAGGAAGCAAGTAAGTTTGTTTTTAAATTAAAGTGGCCTCTTTTTCTAAAAAAGCAAAACCTTATTCACTGTCTTTGAAGTATAAGTGAAATTTTGTTTTTCAAAAGTTAAATGATAATTATGAAATCCAAAGGGCAGAATTAGAATCTGAGGCGTGTCTGCCATACGGAGGGTCTGCTGTGCTTCAAAGCAGTTGGGAGTGGTGTTAACTATGTACATAGTCAGTCTGATGGTACTTGGTAGACAGTGAACCTTTTGGACAGAACAGACAGTTCTTAAATACCTGTCATGGGCATTATATAGCAGAGCAAGATGGAACTTGAGATTCTTATAAGACTTTAATATTGATACAATGAAAATGACTTCATCTGTGCAATTAGTGTACAAGCTGTTTTCACTCAGCTAATAGCTCCAGAAGGAGAAATTTATTTTGACTTTGATTTGTCCTGTTTTTCCTGTGTACTGAATGTTGCAACCTTATGCCGACTAAAATCTCTTGGCCTAATAATTACAGCCAGCATTGAAAAAAATCTTCCCTCAAATTACTACTGCAAATAAAATTAGGGAAAAATAAATTAAACTCAGCTCTCCCATGTTACCTCCCCTTCTTCACCTCACAAGTTCTGTGGTCAAAATGTTTCAGCACATCTTCATCTATAAAATCAAACTATATTTCTATTTAATAAATTAATTTTACAGAGTTTTGTTTTGCTACCACTTTCATTGCTTTACTGCCCTGTTTGGGTAGTATATTCCATACATTTAAAAATAACTAAATTCTTTTACTTAAAGTAAAGAAACTCTAAGAGATCACTTTTTTTCCCATTCAGTTTCAACAGTCTAAAGGGAGAAGTTTGAAGAGAGGCATGCACTTCTAGAGATGTATGGCTATTATGAGGCCAGTGTATATGAGAAATGCTTTGTGACTTGATAGCTCACACAGAAGAAAATTTTCAAATATTAACATATTATGTCCCAGAAAAATCAGAAAATGTATTTGTGGCTTAACTTTGACTCAACAGTGAGCCTAAATAAACAGTCTCATTGCTCTTTACATCAAAATCTGAAAAGAAATATTCAAAACCCTTTCAAACTTACCATTCTTCCAGGCCTCATCTAATTTGCTAGCGATAAACCCTAGGAGTCTGGGGACTGTCAGCAAAGTGGCGTAAGTGGTGCCAATTTCTTTTAGGACTTAACACATCCAGATTTATTATTTCAGAGTGAAAAATGGATGTAGAATAAGGGCAGTAAGTTGGGAAATGCTCCCTTTAAAAGTAGTAACAATAAGTCACATGCTGTGGCTTATCAGGTGGCATTCTTACTCTACACCATATTCCACTTTAATTTGGGGAGAATATATTACCAAAAAATTATTATCACTTAAAAAGGTGTTTCCATTTAATTCCACATCTGATTTATAAAATAATGGAAAAAAAGATTTTTTTTTTCTCATAGTGCTTGAATGATATATGTAGTTCCACTCTTGTCATGTCATTCTACTTTTCAAAAGGGCAAACATGATAGTAGGGATAACAGAAGAACAGCTGTAGAAATGATGGAAGAAGCCCAAATGCCCATTCCACTATGTGCTAATACAGTTATTAGCTTTGGACTGAACTTACTTTATCCTAAATCAGATCCTCTAATTTAGGAGATTATTTCACTCAAGGCTTTTTTTTTTTTTTTTTAGCACTTAGCCTGGTAGCCTGGAAGTAACAGAGTCACTGTGCCAATACTAGCCATTTCTTGGTACTTTCCAGTCTGTAGGCCATAAATTAGAGCTAGACCAGAGCCAGGCTAAATTATTCTGGCAGATGAGGCATATGAAGCATTTCCTCTGAGGAAAATTCAGGTTACTGGATTAGATCACCATTTGATGGGAATACAACTGATTAGAAATTCCACTCAAAGAGTAATCAGTAGATTAAGTTAACCAGAGGCACCTACATTTTATGTAGGTCCTTTCTTAGGATCTTTTATTTTTTTCCTAAACATTTTGGAAATGATATGGATGAATGTTAACCATATCAAGTTGAGTATAGAAAAAGTATTTCAGAGGAGAGAACTGATAATGTTCTTGGCATATTAGAAAAATGGTTAGAATTAAAAGGGAAAAGCTCACTGAGGACAATGTTGGGAACAAACAGGAAAAAAAATTCATTCATTTAAAAAATTTCTTGAATGCCTATTATGTGCCAGGTTTTGCTCTAGGTGCTAGCTGAATTTCCAGGAACTCATGTTCTAGTTTAAGGATTTT